TTTTGCTATTCTTACTGGGGTGAGATGATATTCCATAGTTGTTTTGATTTGCATCTCAGAGCTAGGGATTTTGAACATTTCTTCATGTGTTTGTTCGCCATCTGAATGTCTTCTTTGGTGAAGTGTCTATTCATATCCTGTGCCCATTTTGCAATTGGGTTGTTTTCCTTTGTCGTCTTGTGGCACTCGAGTATTCTGTAAATTCTAGATATAAGTCCTTTATCAGATATGTTATTGCCAAATATTTTTTCCCCAGTCTGTGTTTTCCCTTTTAACCCTGTTGGAGAAGTTTTTGGATATGCAGCAAAATTTTTTTTAAGTCGTTATAACATCAATTTTATTACTAAATAAATTCTTCAGAGTTACCAGTGATCAGGCCAAGAGTACAATAATAAATATTATTAATGTCTAAGTGATAAACTTACTAATGTTGATTAATGACTGAGTGATAAAATTACACTTGTACTTATATTTTTTTATATATAAAAGTATTTTGTCCTTTGATCTAGCCATAATGGTCATGAAAATTATTATCTACTTTTGAAAGTGCTTCATAGTTAAAATTAATATTTTCCTTAATCTAGAATTTTTGATTCAACAGGTGACTCTGGACAAGGATTGAGACAATGGATCAAGCATGTTTTAACTCAAGATTTAGCATTCCCACATATAAAAATTATTTATCCAACTGCTCCTTCCAGGTATGGAATTGTTTATTATTGGTGAGTCTTCTTCCAATCCTGATGCCACATTTTTCTTCATAGAGTCTAGCTTCTCAAATAATTTACTCAGCATATATATTAAATAAGTATGAAGAAAGACAACCCTGGCACACACCTTTCTTAATTTTAAACCGTGCAGTGTTCCCTTGCTCTTTTTGCACAACAGCCTCTTGGTCTAGGTGTAGGATTTGCCTGAGCACAATTAAGTGTTCTGGGATTCCATTCTTCTCAGTGTTAGCCATTATTGTTAAGTGCTGTTGAGTCTCTTAAAACTCATAGTGATTCTATGTACAGTAGCTCTGAACTCTGACCCATTCTGAGCCAATCTCAACTGTTTCTGGCACATCTACCCCCAGTAATCCTGTCACTTTTTCAGTCCATCTCCTCCAAGGTCATCCTCTCCTCTGCTGTCCCTGCACCCTCACAAACGTGATGTCTTTCTCCAAGGACTGGTCCTTCCTGGAAACATGCCCAAAGTATGTCAGATGGACCTTCATAATTTTTGTCTGTAAGGAACAATTTGGTTTTACTCTATCCTGGACAAAAAGACTAAGATGGATCTCAGAAGAGACTCTGAATATTACACTAGAGCGCTGAAAAGCCAAAACAAAGGAAAGAAATCAAGTAGATAAGGAGCTGAACAGAATATTTCAAAGTGGACCTCAGGAAGACAAAATTCAGTATTACAATGAAAAGTGTGAAGAGCTGGAGTCCGACAATCAAAAGGGATGAACTTGCTTGACATCATTAAGCTGAAGGAATGGAAGAACAAGTTTAAGCCTCAAGTTGCAATACTTACGGAAGCTGAGAACAGAATGTTGAACAATCCAGGAAGCATCAAAAGAAGGTGGCAGTAGAACACAGAGTTGTTGTAGCAAGAATTGGCTGAAACAGAAGAATTTCAAGAAATAACATGATCAAGAGGCAGTGGTAGTAAAGGAGAAAATTTGAAATCATTGGCAAAAAGCAAAGCCCCAGGTATTGATGGCATATCAGTTGACATATTTCAACAAACAGATGCTAGCCTGGACGTGCTCACCTGATTGTGCCAAGAAATTTAGAGGAAAACTACCTGGACACTAACTGGAAAAGATCCATATTTATTACCATTCCAAAAAGCTGTGACTCAAGAGAGTGTAGAAATTACTGTACAATATCCCACAGCAGAAAGATGTTCGTCAGGGATGCATCCTACCTCCATACCTTTCAAACTTTATGTGGAAGAAATCATATGAAAAGGAATGTGTCATCAGGATTGGAGGAAGACTAATCAACTACCTGCATCATGCAGATAACCTTGCTTGCAGAAACTGAGCAACATCTGAAGTATTTGTTGCAGAAGGATAAAGACTGCAGCCTTCAATATATATTGAAGCGCAACATCAAGAAAACAAAGATACCACTCAGTTAATTGGCAGACATCAGAGAAAACATTGAGATTGCTAACAATTTAAGCTTTCTTGGTTCCACAATTAGCATTCTTAGCACCAGCAGTCAGGAATTCAAGGGGAATTGCATTGGGAAAAATATGTTCTCAGGGACCTCTCCAGAGTACCAAAGAGAAACGATGTCAGTCTAGATGCTAAGGTGTGCCTGATAAGGCCATGGTCTTTGCTCTTCATTGCTATGCATCAAAGCGCTAGATAAGGACTGAGGATAATAGAAGGAGAATCAATGACTTTGAGTTATGGCATGGGAGAAGAGTGTTGAACATACTGTGAACTGCCAAGAGAACAAATGGGTCTGTCTTGGAGAGAGTAAAGCCAAGCTGCTCCTTGGAGACTAGGATTTTGAAACTCCGCTTCATATATTTTGAGCATGTTGTCAGGAGGGACCAGTCCTTGGAGAAGGACATCGTGCTTGGAAGGGTGAAGGGACAGTGCAGGAGAGGAAGTTCCTGGATGAGATGAATAGACTTTGACTAGGGTGATGGGAGTAAGTGTGCTGGAGATGATCAAACTGGCTCAGAATAGGCCAGGGTTCAGAAAAATTGTGTATAGTGTTGCTATGAGTTGCAGGTGACTTGAGGACACATAACAACCTGGGCAAAATGTTCTCATGGCAATCCATGGCATGGTCAGTATTCTTCTCCTACATCAAAACTTAAATACATTGATTCTTCTTCTGTCATCTTTTTCTGTCACCATTACAACTAATGGTGTAAAATTTAAGGCTTACAAGAAATTTTTATTAAGTACTATTTTTAGAAGATAGTTTAGTAGTACGAAGAACAAACAACTGATAATCACTGAGTTGTTTGTATATTGTAAATTGAATGTCTTTGAAAATGCAAAATGAGTTTTCTATTCACTGTTGTTTTGTAGAATGGAGGATAATAAGAACAAGAAAATAGTGGCATTCCTATGGAAAATGGAAACATAAGTACATTTCAATGTAAATATATAGGCAGTTATCTTCTAAGTTATGTGGAAGACCATTTGAAGCATGGCCTGAATTCTATGAGTTAATATTTAATATTTTTTTAGCTATATACAATATGGTGAGCAACAGGATAATATGCATACACATACAAGGAAGTCCAGTGAATACCACTGTTATTCAGATATATGCACCAACAACAAGCGCTAAAGAAGAGGAAATAGAAGGTTTCTACTAATTTTTATAGTCAGAGATTGATCAAACATGCAAGCAAGATGCATTAATAATAATGGGTGACTGAAAAGCAAAAAGAGAACAGAGAAGAAGGATCAGTAGTTGGGAAAAAATGGACTCACTAACAGAAATGAAGCTAGAAATTTTCTTGTTGTTATGTGCTGTCGAGTTGCTTGCGACTCATAGCGACCCTATGTACAGCAGCGCTAAACTCTGCTCTGTCCTGTGCCAATCGCACTGTCTCCGATGCACCCATCCTGATTACCGCAGTCACTGAATCAAGCCACCTCATAGAGGGCCTTCCCCTCCTGCACTGTCCCTTCACCCTACCAAGCATGATGTCCCTCTCCAAGGACTGGTCCCTTCTTACAACATGTCCAAAGTATGTTAGATAGAGCCTCAAAATCCTTGCCTCCAAGGAGCCGTCCGGATTAACCCTTTCCACGATGAATTTGTTTGTTTTCCTAGCAGTTGATGGTACCCTCAATACTCTTCTCCAGCAC